CTGCCAGAAACTGGTGGATTTGAGCAGCTTCTGCAGTGATGCCGGCACTGCACCGGACTGTTGTGGTGAAGAGGGTGGTGAGCCGGAAGGCGAAGCTTTTGATTTACCGATCCATCTACGTCCCAACCCTCACCTATGGTCATGAGCCCTGGGTAGTGAAAGAAAGAATGAGATTGCGGACACAAGTGGCTTAAATATGATGATATAAAACATGAAACATGATATAGTCACTTCTCTTTTAGCTCTGTATTGGCCTCTACCAACTCCTGAGTAAAGTTAAGTTTAAGTTTATTTACTTTATTAATCCCCCTGAGGAGAAATTCAATGTTTTCACTCTTGCTTGTCAATTACACACAGGTCCGAAAGACACACACATGCACAAACAGGACCTATACATGCACAAAGTGGAGAGATGTCAGAGTGAGGGGGCTGTCCTTGGTGAGGCGCCTCGAGCGGTTGGGGGGTTCGGTGCCTTGCTCCTTGCTCAAGGGCACCTCGGCAGTGCCCAGGAGGTGAACTGGCACCTCTCCAGCCACCAGTCCACGCTCCATATTTTGGTCTGGCCGGGGACTCGAACAGGCGACCCTCCGGTTCCCAACCCAAGTCCCTATGGACTGAGCTACTGCCGCCCCCTGAGCTCCTTATTTCCCATTGTTTACACCCATTATTGATCCATGCATCTTTAAGGATTTCTTTTGAGAGACACATTGGCTACAGAGGATAAGAGACACCCTCATCTATACCCAAAAGGAGGTCAGAGTGGTGCAATAAATTGGGCATAAAAACAATTAAGTTGTTTTTTTGAATGCCTAATTCAAAAAGCCCAATACATCTTCATTCTTTTAAGAACTTATAACACTGGATGTGAGGGTTTTCACCAAACCCATCTCATATCCTCAGACACAAGTTAACTCCAAATGTTTATTTCATGTGGAACATAAGCTCTGGAACTCAGACCCAGGTGAAATGAAAAAGAAAACCAAAAGAGAACATTCTTATATATCAATTAAAGCCTTTTGTTTTTAACAGACAGCTAGAAGACTGGCACCGGCTTTTGCAATGAATTTGAACACAAGGTACAGCTGATAACTTAAACCCTTAAATGACAAACATACATCACAGTACATTAACTTTTTCCACACTGTTTGATTTTGCTTAGTGCTTTAACACTGCTTTACAAACAGAACCTTCACAGAACCCTCACAGGGGGATAAATAAGGTTGTCACCTACACTTATTTTGGTTAATTTTACTTATTTTTATCACTTATGCTACACGATAGTTAGACTCCCACCAACTTTTAAAGGGCTAATATGTAGGATTTAGTGGCATCTAGCTGTGAGGTTGCAAAAATGAAACTTCTCCCAGGTGTAGGAGACTAAGGTTGCCGGTGCAAAAACGTGAAATGCCCTATTTAGACAGATTAAGCTGTAATGCTTATTCCCCTTGATAATGGTGGCTTTGTAGGACTTCTCCTTGAACATTGGTGAATATTTATTGATGTTGTTCACCTGGATCTGGACAGTGGCCTTGTGGGATCTCTTCATGGCGACGCGATCAGGGCACTCTCCATAGTGTTTGATTTGTCCAGTCTGGCCTACTGTAGACGAGGACCGGCTCCCTATGTGGATGCAAATGGCTCATTCTAAGGATACAAAAGTACATCAATTCTTACTTTCAGGTGATAATAAACAAATTAAGACATAGTTTGACTTTTTTTTTTACCATTTCTGCAGATAGATGCCCCTAAATCATCCACACTGGACCTTTAAAGCGAATAGTGTTTTGTCTAGCCTTAATTTGACGAGTTATTGCCTCACAGAATTAATTTTCAGAGGCTTTCACAGTGGGTCCCAATGGTGTATTCACAACAAATGTGATGCAAATTTTCATGGCTACTGGAATGTTTTTTTGGAGCATTTTGCAACTCATGAACATTCACCCTTAACAGCTTTTCTAACGGTTGTGCTAGCTAACTAACTGGGGAAGGCAGCTACCAGCTAACCTGGTTTACAGTGAAGCACAACCGACAGCTGGATGTAAACACAGTAAACACAGAGGCTTCGTACCCCGAAGCAGCGTGAACCAAGAAAGTTAAACTATTGTTTATCATTCTGTCAAGACAGTGCATTACTGCTTCATGCCTTCCTGCTGTTTACTTTCCACAATAAAAGACCAACTTAAATAGCTAGAGGATTTTGCTAAGAAGCAACTTAACAAAAGCTTACACAAGTCACAAAAACATGTTTTCAGAACCTACCATGCAATGTTATGGTAGGGCTGCTTGATTATGGAAAAAATCATAATCACAATTATTTTGGTCAAAATTGAAATCACGATTATGCAAACGATTATGCGGCGCACGTAATGACTTATATTGTTTACACAACGGCATGTCATTTCTGTCTCTACATGCGCGTTTAAAATTCTCCTCTGCTCTCTGTATTGCGCACGGTGGAGTTCGGCCCCGATGCGCACACACACACACACACACACACACACACACACACACACACACACATACACACACAGACCAACCTCTCTCGCTCTCCCTCTGCTATTTTCCGCACACTGTTTTTGAAATCTTCCGCGATCACCTGCCCCTCGCATTACTCATAGTTCACCTACTTGACTGGTTCGTGGAGTGAAAAGAGGAGAGGAGTACAGCACTGATGTGGAGTGTAGCTCTGGGTGCACGTACAGAGCAACATTGTTTGTCTGTCATTCCAGAATCTTAACACTGATAGGCTATTGTGACAAAGCGTCACAAATTTCTTGCATGATTGTCAATCGCATCACATCTTTTTCTTTCTTTGCACTGAATTTGTGATCTTGCTGTGCAAAATGCTTTTGCATTGTATTTGGTGTGAACACACCATAGGGGTAGCCAAAATAATTGTGATTATGATTTTTTCCATAATCAAGCAGCCCTACCATAACATTGCATGGTAGGTTCTGAAAACATGTTTTTGTGACTTGTGTAAGCTTTTGTTAAGTTGCTTCTTAGCAAAATCCTCTAGCTATTTAAGTTGGTCTTTTATTGTGGAAAGTAAACAGCAGGAAGGCATGAAGCAGTAATGCACTGTCTTGACAGAATGATAAACAATAGTTTAACTTTCTTGGTTCACGCTGCTTCGGGGTACGAAGCCTCTGTGTTTACTGTGTTTACATCCAGCTGTCGGTTGTGCTTCACTGTAAACCAGGTTAGCTGGTAGCTGCCTTCCCCAGTTAGTTAGCTAGCACAACCGTTAGAAAAGCTGTTAAGGGTGAATGTTCATGAGTTGCAAAATGCTCCAAAATAACATTCCAGTAGCCATGAAAATTTGCATCACATTTGTTGTGAATACACCATTGGGACCCACTGTGAAAGCCTCTGAAAATTAATTCTGTGAGGCAATAACTCGTCAGATTAAGGCTAGACAAAACACTATTCGCTTTAAAGGTCCAGTGTGGATGATTTAGGGGCATCTATCTGCAGAAATGGTAAAAAAAAAGTCAAACTATGTCTTAATTTGTTTATTATCACCTGAAAGTAAGAATTGATGTACTTTTGTATCCTTAGAATGAGCCATTTGCATCCACATAGGGAGCCGGTCCTCGTCTACAGTAGGCCAGACTGGACAAATCAAACACTATGGAGAGTGCCCTGATCGCGTCGCCATGAAGAGATCCCACAAGGCCACTGTCCAGATCCAGGTGAACAACATCAATAAATATTCACCAATGTTCAAGGAGAAGTCCTACAAAGCCACCATTATCAAGGGGAATAAGCATTACAGCTTAATCTGTCTAAATAGGGCATTTCACGTTTTTGCACCGGCAACCTTAGTCTCCTACACCTGGGAGAAGTTTCATTTTTGCAACCTCACAGCTAGATGCCACTAAATCCTACATATTAGCCCTATAGGGGTAGCCTGGAAATCCAGACCCAAATCTAGAAAGATTTAGGGTCTGGCCATGAGTAATAAAAATGGCCCAGCTCGAGGGCTGGTACCAAGCATGCATTTGAAAATATCACTGCATGCAATTGGATAACACTATGACCAATCAGAACAATACACGGGGTGACGTATACCCTTAGCTACCAGCGGAGCTAACTGGTAGATTAGACTCTTGCCGTATCCGGTCGGCAAAACAGCAAAAACGTCCTTCTTTCAAAGGAAAGATTCGAGCGCCGTCTTCTGTTCCTCTTTTAGAGAAAAAGCCAAGTCTAACTCATTCATTTTAGCAGCCAAAGCCGTTTCAAACAACTGGTGTTCATCCGTAGCCATCTTGCAATGTTTACTGACTGACTCCGACTTCGTTATCGCAGTGCTGTCGTCATCTGTTTAGCTCGCCTCTGGCCCACCTATATCAGATACACCGATGTGATTGGTGCAGCTTGGCTCTAAGGGTATGGGTAATGAGCATCATTACTGATTGCCAGAGTAACTCGCTTAGCAAATTCAAATTGTGCTCTCGCGAGAACTCTGGATTTCCAGGGTACCATACAGGTGCTTTCCCACCTGTTGTTCAGCCAAGGATAAAAAATAATGCATTGTAGCATTTTAGCTCTGGTCTGGTTCTTGTTCACACTGACTTATTACAAATGAACATAGAGGAGTAAATGTGAAGTTCTACCAAATGACGGGTGACCTGTTGTTTATGGCATTTGTCATCATGCATTGTCAGTGCATTATCAGAACCCATGTAGGGAAATCAAATTCCAGTGACCGACAAAAGGTTATACAGCACAATAATGTTTCTGACATGTATATTTATATTATTTGCCGTCTCAAAGTGCTCACAAAGAAATGTCTCATTATAAGCATTATTAGTATTTTAGGACTGCAAAGTGACCACATGTTATGGATAATGACTAACAGGTAGAGACGGACAAAAAGAAACATCTTGTTCAGTAATGATTCCAGGCTTATTACTGTGGGATCACTGTCACACACTTTTAAATGGACTTAATTAACTGACAAAATACACAGAGTCAGATACAAGCACAGCAGTTTTAACAGCTTTTTAATGAGGAAAAATACCCAGACTGACGTGTTGGCCTGTGTTTTAACCATGGTTACCTTATACAACAGATCAACTATAAGATTGCTTGCTGAACAGATTTCACATTCAGTAGATGGATTTATTGGCGGTTTCGAAATCTTTCATGCCAGAACCATATTGACTAAACTGAGTTTATTTAACCTGACAAAACAGGTTAGGTGTGAAAGCATCCTAAAGGTATGTTCATGTTAAATAGGCTGTGGGTTTTTGCCTGTCTTGCATATTTTGATTGTGGATTGCTTTTGCCCTTTGTTTATTCACTCTGTACTTTCATGATGTAGTATCATATAGCTTCAAGACTTGTGCAAACTTATCTTCACCTTAATTTACCCCAAACAGAGCACACGTGTCATTCTGTAGCCTTTTTCATGGTAAAGGGAAAATGGTGGGACTTTGGTGGAGATGCAGTCCCTAATTATGACCAATAGATGATAAGAAAATGCTCATAATTCAAGATGTTTTAAAACATTAATGTGCACTATTAACTATGTTGCCAGAGAGAGGAAATAGAAATAATGTTTTCTGTTTAGAAGCTGACACTTTATTGAAACAATTGCCGCTTGGTAGCGGTTCCTAAAAGGTCATATTTAATACTGATGAATGTATATTTTTGTGATGAACACAGTAGCTTCACGCTGCAAGGATTCCTGACTGAATTTCCATCCTGAGGAACAGAGAGAACAGCATGTACTGATTTTACTTCAATACAAAGTAACCTAACACCTTCCTGCCCAGCCTGTTCCCTCACTAATAGATGCCCAGATGGTCCCAGAAGTCACATATATGGTCTCTGGTTCCCACTTGTGCATGTGAACGCACTGTCAGGTTCATGACCAGCCAGCTGCTGGTGTCGGAATAGCGTGGCCAAACAGGCAGACGCTGCTCCCGGCAGAAAGTTGTTTGTTTGGCCCGCGAGGAAGGGTCACCGGTGTGGGTGAAGGCGCCCCAGTAGCACAGCATCCGATTGGACAGCAGCTTCTCTGGTTTGGACAGGGTGAAGTTGGCCACCGAGGCAGAGTCAAAGAGAAAGGGCAGCTCGGCACCATGGCAGGCGTGCTGGTAGCAGAAAGTCAGACCTGACCACACGCGGTGGTCTGATGGCACATGGTCGAACACGTACATCCACACCTTGCTGCCTGCTGCTGTGCCAGCACGCGCTGACCTCCGGGATGGACACAGGAAGACGTAGTCAGTGACGATCTGAGGAGAGGGAAGAGAGAGACAGCTGGTCAGACAACAGATGTGTTCTTAACTGTATTGAATGATAGTAAGCCATGCCAGCGGCTTAGCTCTATGGATGGCAAAGTTGGCCAACCAGCTGGTCAGCCTATCACCAGTTGGGTACAGATGGAAATATCTCAACAATGGTTTGATTACCATGTCATTTTGTTCTGGCAGTCATAGTCCTGAGAGGATGGATTCTACTGACTTTGTGGATCCTCTGACTTTCCATCTTGTGCCACCATAAGGTTGACATTTTTATTTTTTAACAGAATATCTTGACAGCTATTTGATAATGTAATCAAATACAACGTATTGTCATCCAGCAGTTCGAATGAAATCCTACAAAAATGCACACACAAAGGATCGCATAATATCCTACGAATAAGCATTCCACAAATGACGTCACGTAATTAATGTAAAGTTACGTAGGTTAGGTTTAGGCATGTAAATGTGTGGTGATTCCATTTAGGAAAAGTAAAATGGTGATGATTTACCTTAAAAGGACTCAAAGTTTATTCAAAGTTCACATGCTCTCTACTTTACCCCTGTCAACACATTGGTCATGTGATCGCAGTCTTCCCAAATAGATGGGTATGTGATGTGAATAACTGGCTTATGATTTGGATAGGTGCATTACTTACGTTTGAATGTTTGTTCTCTTTTTTTATAACCAAAAGAACATTATTCTATTGTCGAGTTTTCAGTTATGAAACAGAAAATGTAGCCATATACTGTAAACATTCCCCTGGCTACTCTCAGTGTCTTTTAGAACATCTTTCTCAATTCATTGTCCATGGCCAGACCTTATACCCTATGACATCACAAATTTGAGTATTAGCACTCCAGCTTTTGCATTTGGGAGAGGGTTGCTCATGTTTATTAATATCTTTGGACTGTCTTAGACCACCATTCACCTTTTTCTGGACCATGAAACCGGGAAAATAAAGTATAACAGAGCTGTTTTGTGAGTTAAAGTGAAATTTCGGTTTATTTCAACCCGTCTCCTATCATCCTAAATTTGTTTCAAGTGACTAGTGACATAGAAATAATAGTTAGCATGTTAGCTGTTAGCCTAGATACAGCCGTAGCATCAGACCTGTCAAAACGTAAGTGAGTGCGGGCATCCCTTCAAGTGCAAAGTTAGTCCACTAAACAAGCTTTTTTTCCACAAAGACCGCCTCATATCGTTAGGATTAATGTCAGAGAACATATAGAAAACGACATGTAAACGTGTTGTCTTACCTTACCGGTGTGCTGCCATGTTTATTTATCCCTCTAGCTCTGCTTTCCAAAGCACAGCCGAAATATATCTCGGCAGCTCTAGATAAAGCCCAGCTGGATACTAACGTTACTCCAGGTGGAGGTGTCTCGTCCTCGGTCACATCCAGACCTTGAAAATAAGGCTGCAACCGCTCCCATTCCTTGCAACAGAGGCATTCCTCTTCTGTGGGCACTGGGGCACAGCATTCACAGGTACACCACCAATCTCCAGAGCTACGCAGCCTTGCAGCAGCCATTCCTCCTCTCTCGTCCTCTACCTGTTGCGCCTCTCTCTCTCTCCTCCTCCGTTCTTCAATTTCACGAAGCTCTTCGTCAGTGTATTCTGGCTCAAATAAATAAGGGCGGCCATCAAACTCTGCAAAATCAAATTCCTCCTCCACAAAGTCGAAGTCTGGCAAAAAGTCAGCCATTATTCTATAAATCTTTCATAAAATAAATGAATGAACCGTTCAGGCTACTGTCCGGTTCTGCCTTCCCGCTGTTGCTGCTTGTTCAGGAATGGTATGAGATCGCTGCTTGTTCTCGTGATATTTCGGCCGCGCTTTGGGAAGCAGAGCTAAATGGTAAACAAACATGGCAGCACACCGGTAAGGTAAGACAACACGTTTACATGTCATTTTCTATATGTTCTCTGACATTTATTCCAACGATATGAGGCGGTCTGTGTGGGAAAAAAAGCTTGTTTAGTGAACTAACTTTGCACTTGAAGTATGCCCGTTCACTTACGTTTTAACAGGTCTGACACTACGGCTGTATCTAGGCTAACGGCTAACATGCTAACCATTATTTCTATGTCACTAGTCACTTGAAACAAATTTAGGACGATAGGAGACGGGTTGAAATAAACTGAAATTTCCCTTTAAAGAATTGTGAAGGTTTATGCTTTACAATATATCTTATAGTTTCTGAAGTGTATTTGTAGAAAAGCAAATGAATAGCACTAATTAGCATGACATCTACAAAGAGGCGGGCTGGGAGCAGAGCAGCAGAAACTACTGTTCCCTCTCAGCTAAAAGGAAGCAAATAGAAAATGAGGTAGACCGTCTTCCTCTGCCTGTTACCTGGAAACCAGTGTGTCTTTTTCAGCAGCGCACAACCTGCGCCCACACAGCCCCACATCTGACACCTGACTGTGGGAAGCTTACGGACAGACACACACACACAAACACACACACACGCAGATTCACTTCTTCTTATCCTCACACACACATTTATCTGTTTCAAATAGAGACACGCACAAATGTATTAATCACCTACAAGAACATACTGTACCCGAACACTTACAGTCATGGCACACACACACACACACACACACACACATACATACGGGTATAAACACAGGTAGAAATGAAATTATGTAATGTGTACCATGTGTTCCAAGTATAGTGTTCTGGAAATTAACTTTTCCTCTGCTCTCTCCCTCACCCTTTCTGTCTTCATCCCTTCATCTTTTCAACCAGTTTACTCCTCTTAGTTTGCCCCCTCACTATGTTTTTCTCCACTGCCGCCTACTTTCTCATGCCTAATCTCTCTTTTCCATTACTAACTATGAAAGAAAATCTCAACTGTTAAATCTGCCTGTATTTCTGCTTATTGACCGATGCAACCCATGTATCACAAAGCACTTGATTTCTGGGGCACATTTTAATCACAGGCCATCATGAGCATATGATGTATATATCATAAGAAGACTTTAACATTGCTAAAAAAGCTATTTATGTTTGCAGTCCTTAATTTCCACATATTCTGTTCAGGCTGTACACCTAATCTGTTTTTGCTGTTGGGCACACTTCTTTCCCAATATCAGTGTCAGACTGCCATCATGTGCCACCATGGGTGACACCTGGCCTGGGTATTTCAGGCTGTTGTCCCAAAGTTTTTTTCTTTAGCCCTGAATAATTCTCCACTTTGAGCGATCAGTTGTGACAACAGAAGGTAAGTCTATATCTTCAGTGAATGGAGACGAAATGAGAGCAGTATGGTGGCCACAAGGATACATGACAGGGCCAATGGGCTTTCCAAACTGGGAATGCATGCTGTACTCCAGGGGCTGTCCTGCGGTAAAGAATACACAGAAAAGCTTGGGGACACTGTTATTTTGTAGTCTGCAAGGTAACAAAAATAACTATACCCAACAAAACTATGCAGGAAGCTAAGAAACTACTCAGTTGTAATACTGCAGTCCGTTTGACAAATTAAGTTAGCATACATTTAACCTGCAATAGACCTCACATGATGATATTCACAACTTGGATTAAAAGACATTTTGATTGTTTTGACTGGTGGACCATTTTAGACAATCAAGGAATTAACACATATTTTGACTTTGTGACAGCGTCAAAGGTAGGAGTCAACCTTTTTTTCATCTCTGTTGTCTCTTGTTGTTGTTTACCCCACCAATAAATCTGAATGAATTACACTCTGGTGCTCATGGTTTTCATAAAATGACCTAAACGATTGAATTGTGGAGAATCTAACCAACCTAACAATGTGCAGCATGTCTGTATTGACAAATGTTTAACATTAAACATTTATACTTTGATGCATGATGTGAAGCTGTTAAGAACTAATATTAGCAAGCCAGTTGCCAGTGGGAACCTGGTGGGATTTAGGAGGTTTTGATATTCTGGAAGCCAAGAGTTTGTTTATTTGAAATCAAATGAAGACCACTGTCCTTGATCCTGCCTTGCTACTATAAGCCTGTCCTTCATAATGGTCAGGGAGGGAGAGTGGCACTGAGTAGGACCAGATTGTGGTTGACAAGTGTTCCCTGCTTGTCATGATGCCTTTACAAGCTTCAAAATGATATTTATTGTTTCATATTCTGAAAGCCAAGACCTTATAAAATCAAACAAAACCCCAAATGACCAAAGATGTTGAAACAAATCCTCATTTTTATAGAAATGTGCCATTGCAACTTCAATATGACATATTGAAATATTTTGAATATAACATACACTGACTGATGTTGATTTTTTAGGTGCCCATGTTTTGTTACTGCCTCTGTCCACGGCAGCACAGTGTTTAGTGTCCATGGTAGCACTCCTGCCCGCATCTCCAACACATTCTCACTCTGACCTTGTCACATATTGACATTTGGTCATGGGCATTCCATGTCAACATATGACGTGCAAGGTAGCTGGGGTGTGTCTGTTGTCATTCTGGGATGCTGTGTCAGCTTCATCCTGTTATATGCATTGTGTGTTTTCAAAAGAACACTTCTGTTTTTACAGGAAATATACAGTTTGCATATAGTGTCTTTCAAAATAAACATGAGTACAACACCTCAAATTGACATTTTTTTCCCTCAAGGCATTTGTTATCAAAGAATACAAATGTAGGCACAATTGATTAGCATTCAGCACTAAACCACTTCTGCTCCCCGGAATCAAATGCTGGAACTTTATGAGGAGAGAAAATTTGTATGTAAACAGCATAAATTTCTACTGTTTATGGTTGACAAATATTTTTTGAGCAAATGAGCAAACTTAAAAGTACTGAGGCTACAATCATATTGCCAGTTTTTACATTCTCTACCACACTGGCAAACTACGTGTCGTTAACAGGATAATGTACAAGGCCCACATATCAGTGGCCAATTCTTGTTGACCTTTATGTAGATTTCTCAAAACCTGCACCAGTTTTTGTCACCTTGATTAGCTAATCCATTTGTTGTTCTTTGTGAGATACATGAA